CCGAAAAATCTTGGGCCCGGCGGACAGCCATGAAGCCCGGGGAAAGGAAATGATGCAAGCTTGAACAAACGGGACCATCCGGGGATGATGGAACTACAGCAAATCTAGGATCTGATTGACAGTCAGGAAGTCCACATGACGGAACCTGGAAGTGGCACTACTGGAGCCTTGGACCCCGTGGACCTTGCTACCCGCTAACAATGGAAGACCAGGACAAGATGGAAAGCCTGGAAACATGGGACCACCAGGACAGCAGGTCAATCGATGGACAATGCAGGCAACCCGGAAACTCAGGAACTCCCGGAACTGATGCTGCCTATAGTCCTTGCCCACTTCGCTCTGCTGCCATGGTGAATCGCAAGAAGTTGATTAAGCACTAAACGTCTGCCACTCTCTTTGTAGGAAATAACAAATGTATCAATTTATAGTTATTTGTGGATATTAAGTCAGATCAATACGGAGAATAATTGCAGATAAGATTTCGTGACATTTTTTTTGCACTTACTAAGTGAACGGTTAAGGAGTAACACTTTCTTAGCAATATCTCCAGCGAGCCCAGATGAAAACCATCCGATTGTACTCTATACACATTATAATATTTCGGATCATCTATATCAGTGCCATATTGAGCGACCTTGTCGCGAACATGATAAAGAAAAAAATCTTTGGAAATCGGAGTAATTTCGAACAGTGCACATGCTTCAGCCAATGATAACATTAATAATTCAATTTATTAAACTCAGTTTCTTTGATCGTTTTTTTATTATTATACATTACCACAGAGCTGCCGCAGATATTCGCGAAGTGAACTCACTAGTTGTGCTAATTTAACATCGCAATGAGTGAGTTTCCTATCATTTCTGCCTTATAATTTCTTGTATGTGCCTTAGCAAGGCAGCTATCTTAGGACTACGATAAGAAGTTTTAAAGTTATATGTGTGGTGCTTGCACTGTGCTAAATGCCTCAATGAGCGAATTTCTTGCAGTTGTTTTAGATCTTCCCTGTTAATCCCTCGCAATTTATGTTTTATATGTGTAAATTAAACTGAACAGGAGAGAACTGTGAGGTATAGTTGTGAAGTATCAAGTTAAGCTTACTTTCAAACCTTTCAAATCTAGACAGTGCCAAAAAAGGAACATTTTCAATAAAGAGATTAACATTTTGCATCTTGACACTCTCTATATACGTAATCGTAGTATGCCTCGTAATTTACGTGGAAGGCAGACATGTTATACCGTGCACAAAGGCTTGAGTTTGATTTTTGAATTAATTAATGAACTACTAATTTTAATTCAAAAATCTGTCCTATCAAAATGGTAACTCAGTCATTTGCTATGCAACCATGAAGACTGAAAATGTGACTCCCAAATAAACTTTTTAACGAATTTGAAAGGAACTTTAGCGTAAATCTTACCCGTTGTCAGCAACAAGGAACAGATGGGATTCACAATTTAATGGTTGAATGTTAAAATGCGAACACTTGTTTGTTTTTTAGGGTTCTCCAACCCAGGTTTGAATGACTCATCTTTGAAAAGGCATACGTAATGGCATCAGTTGACAAATCAGTCTCGCCCTTCTCTTTTGACTATGCACGTAAGGTATAACTAAAATTAGGAGTTTTTGTATCACCTAATAAAAATATACTGAACTTTCGTTGACATTAAGAAGCTATATGGAAAAAGGCATAATTTCGAGTGTAACTTTTTGAAGTACATGCTTGTATTGTGGTGAAATTATGCCTCTTTCTGTATGGCTTCTTAACGTTGACGAAAGTTTACTATATTTTTATAAGTAGTATAAAAACTCTTAATTGTAGTCATACCTTCATTTTATTGTAGCGCATTACAATGTAGAATAGGTGAACAAAGATGTAATGCTATGTGACTTATCAATATGTACTAATAACACGACAGGGATTTCTGATTCACTATGATCAGCGTAATCATAGCTCTTCCGCACTGAATTCTGTTTTGGGTGCCTTCTCGCGCATTATTTTTTGAAAACAAAGGCTATAGTAAACTTCAAAAAATGCATAAAAATAAAGGGATTTCTGGAATTGTTTGTGTATCGGAAGCCAACTCTAACATTGTGGTCAGGCCTCAGCACGAGTTCTCCGAATCTTACGAGAACCAATATCCGTTTGAAAACCCAGGAAATTATGAAGCCCCTTTTCCAACCTGTACAAACGCGTGCAATCAGGAGAAACACTGCAGTGCTGTAACGTGGAGCGCGTTTTCTTCATAAGGAAAAACAATTTAGGGTCCTAGCAAGAAAGGGAGAAAGTGCTGTGACCTGGTTATTGCGCTGTATAGGATTAAGAGGTGCACAAAAAGTGTTTGCTATAAGGAACGTAAAATTATGAAAAACAAAAAAGTGTTTGCTAATCGGAGACCTGATGTCTCCCGTAGGTCTCCGCCTGAGACCTAGATCACAAACAGATATGGCAATATTTTCATCCTCATTCTCAAAGATTTTTCAAAACTTTTTCTACTACTTCTTGCGCATCTTTACGTCAATTTTGGCGGCCGTTTATTGCCTATTCGCTTAGAAAAACG